TCCCAGCCAGGAGGTCAGGCTGACCTCCGGGCGTCTCAGTTTTGGATGTTTGGGGTGTCAGTGCATAGCCCCAGAAGTACTGAATCCAGAAGTACTCTCGCACCTCACTTTATATTGGTAGTCGTTCCGTAATTCATCATATCCTCCTAAAACGGTGAGAAGGGCCTGGAGGATTATCCAGCGATCAAGTTCCCACGGTTAGTATGTCAAAAAATCATGTTCGCCAAGCCCCTAGCCCTGTCCCAGCCAGGAGGTCAGGCTGACCTCCGGGCGTCTCAGTTTTGGACGTTTGGGGTGTCAGTGCATAGCCCCAGAAGTACTGAATCCAGAACCACTCTCGCACCTCACTTTATATTGGTAGTCGTTCCGTAATTGATCATATACTCCTAAAACGGTGAGAAGGGCCTGGAGGATCATCCAGTGATCAATTTCACACGGTTAGTATGTCAGAAAATCATGTTCGCCAGTCCCCTCCCACTGGCCATTTTTTCAAGATTTTAGAAGCTTCATATATTGCAGTATTCGTCGAACAATCGGTTTTTTAAATCGAAAGAAATGATGCTCATAAATCACCGTCCGTTTTTCTCGACAGTTCCCAACTGAATCGCTACTCACCGTCTGACAACGCCTCTTCGTAACTATGACGGGTACCTCCATGAATATTCTGGCGATTTAAGGCGCTGTGGGCATATCTCCACCAATATTTTGGTGGAGATGTCGCCGGGAGGATTGCTCGCCGCCACCGTGACCGTGGGACTCCGGCAAGCTCGGCAGGGGGTCTGAACGCGCGTCGTGACACTGCCACGGTGACCGTGGGTCCCGGCCTGCTCGGCGGATGCGCGTCGTAACACCGCCACGGTGAGCCATGAGCACCACGTGCCGACATTGCCACGGGTCCGAGCGCGCGTCGTGACACCGCCACGGTGAGCCACGCGCGGACGCGAGTCGTGACACTGCCACGGTGAACGTGGGTTGCGCGGCACGGCACTGCCACGGTGAGCCACGGGGCGCGTCGTGACACTGCCACGGTGATTGTGGGTCCCGGTCTGTTCGGCGCGCCGCGCGGCACGGCACTGCCACGGTGAGCCATGCGGCATCGGGCCGTGGCCCGCTCGCACGTGCTGGCATCGCCACGGTGATGCCCGGATTGGTCGGGATCGACGGTGAGCGTGGGATAAAGGTCACGGGAAGACGGTGAACGCGGGAACCGATCTGTCCATCAGCTTCCTGGGCGCTGATGGGGTTGGACTTTGCCCTTCGCCCCGCTCGCCTGCTGGTCACTCGACTCCCGCCTCCCGCCTCCCGCCCTCCCCCTCTTTCGTTCTTCTCTGCGCCGACGCCGACCGCTCTCTCCCGCCCGCCGCCACCGGCGGCGGCTCTGGCCTTCCACGCCGCTGCCAACGCAGGCGATCGCTGCCCGCAAGACAGGGCTGGCGAATTCGTTGTGAGGGGGGCGCAAGGTGAGTAAACGCCTTCTTTTTTGGTTCCGTTTCGCGACGATCCCGGGTCATCCGACCTCCGGCGTCGGGGTGCATAGTCGCCTCGACGTCAGGAGGCCATTTATCGCTTTTGAGTATCCGTTTCCGACACTGCTAACTTTCTCCCCCCGTTTTCCAGGATGCATATGAGCCGCCGTCCTCGCGACGCGGCCTTTCTCCACCATCACTCACCCCACCAACGCGCTCCCTCGGCAGTCGGTAAGTCCCCCCCCCTCCTTGCCTGTATGCGCGGCTAACGCGCTTTCGGCTTTGCAGACGACCTTTACTCGTCGCCGCAGCCGCGTAAGTACGGCCCCCCTATCCATGCCCCAGGGTGGAAAACAGGCTGTTTTCCGCCCGTCTCAGATTTGGTTGATTACAGCCTACATGCATAGATTAGCAAGATATCAGTGGTCAGGAACCATCCCCACAGATTTTGAATCACTGCGCAGCCGGCCATAAAATGGTTATGGTCTGGAGGGTGCAGAGCCATTTGTGAGCCCGATACAGCAGTTATGGGGTGAGTAACCCTATCCATGCCCCAGGGTGGAAAACAGGCTGTTTTCCGCCCGTCTCAGATTTGGTTGATTACAGCCTACATGCATAGATTAGCAAGATATCAGTGGTCAGGAACCATCCCCACAGATTTTGA